GAATTGGGGCGTTTTCAATATTAAGATTGGCAAATATTGACATTTAATTAGGTACCAAAAACCTCTTAAATACTCATTTGCTTTCCAATTCAATCGTAAGATAATTTGAGCACAAAATCGAGAAAAAATGTGGCCTTCAAAAATATTCAACCGTTTGGAGTGACCTATACCCCAAAATGTCAAAATAACGACGTTATATATTCCAAATGGCCCAATATTTTTGTAGTCCACCTTTTTTTTATCGATTTTGAGATCAAATTATCTGACGACCCTAGTGGAAGCAATGGATACTAAAGAGTTTCTAGTACCTAATTAAAAAGACAAAATTTGCCGATCTTAATATTGAAAACACCCCAATTCCAAGAGTTTTCATAAATGAAATAGTTGTAGGTTACGATGAGATGAAGCTAAAGACGAAATTCCAGGCGGATGTTAATGATTTGATAAAAAGGAGTCTATAACACGGACTACCAATGATTAATTAAAAGGAATTTTTCGAAAAGTTTGATAAATAATTGGCTTCAAACCAAATAATTACATAAGGAACCATGCCTGATGCAGGATATTTTTCCAGACCGGTCAACACACTGCATTAGACGCCTTTTTTTAGGGTCGGGTGGACTCGTTTTGAAAAGGGAAATGGATGAGGTTAGAAAAAAGACAATTGAACGGGAAGGGAGGAAGCCGAGGATGAAATTAGCGGGGAGGGGTCGGGACGATTTTTATTCACTTACTCAATTATTTCTCAGAGGGCCGCCATTGTCGGTGAGGCAGAGACCTCTGTGAGAGAAGTTGTTAATTAACGGAAGGGCGACCGAGGCTTTTAACAATGACCTGACCAAATGAAATAATTATCGACAAGGGTTAAGTAAATGGAAGGGATGCATTATTAGCGACCTCAACGGATTGTGTCTCGGCCTGGCTAATTGCTACATAACCGAGCGGTGTGAATTTAATTGGAGGCCGACGACTGTTACACCGGCCCATTACCAGTCCCCGCTTTTAATTAAGCTTGTCAACTAATTACCAGTCTAAGTATCTCTTTGTAATTAATACTTCGCCTCTTAATTGGCCCAGTCTTCTTCGTTAGCGGCAGAAAAACGGAGCTCTCCCGAAGACCGATCGATACTCTAGATACCCTGTAGTATTTCTGTTTCAATAGTTTGCTATCTATCACACTTTTTTCTATATACGCAAAACAATCTCTTTACCTACAATGAAAAATTATGACAGAAGTGGATCTGACATGCTCAAATCCGTTCCAATTCCTAATATAATATTATATCTAATCCTTATTCTCCAAACTTCGCTTCAGAACTTCAGAATGGTTAGCGAGATAACTTAAACTGCATTAATACACACTAGCAGTATTATGGGAGGCACATTTGTGCTTATCTCCACAGAACAGGAATCAGTATTTTTTCCTGGAGGAGCAAGCAGATTTTTTCCACATTCTATCACCTCCAGCCAGCTTCAATGTAAGTCAATATTTATTAAAAATATGTTAGGTAACGCTGTATCATCAGGAAAAAAGAAGCAAGAGACTGCCTCAACAGCACACAATAAGATGAGGTAGGCCGACCGCGAACTGGGATAATGAGATGAGATCAACATGTTGAGGCAGTTCCTGGAACAGGTTCCCAAACGGTGCGATAAATGGAAAATAGGCCACGTTCACTATCTGTTTTGGATGCAGCAATTAAAAAACCAATCAGTGACTTAATTGTTTGTTTATAATATAAAATCAGTGCATCCGTTTAATTTTATTTTGATATGTTAATTCATTCACAAACTGTAACATTTTCAGCTAAAGCCGATTTTGCAGATTCTGTAAATAAATAGTTTTTATTTTTCACCTTTTTATGCATATGCAACTATAGCATTATTATTATAATTGTATTATTTGATTTCTGAAATAGCATCCACATCCCGGAAAAAAACATTCTAGGCAATATAGGTGAACGTAAAAATAAAAATAAAAATTACTTATTTAGAAATGTTCTGACATTTCTGCACATATCGAGCAGGACTGCTTTCAAATGCGCCAAATCAAGTCCAAGTTCTTGGGTGCCCGCTATTGTGCCCTCTACTGTGCTTTTCAATATTAAGCCATTAGAAGATATGATTATTGGAGTGATCTCTACTTTTCCATGTTTTTAACGTGGAACTTCTTAATTCGAAAGAAAGTTCTTGGTATTTTCTAATGTTTTCGGCCCCGGTGGTTACCATGTTGGTATCGCAAGATACTGCTATTTTTATAATTTCTCCAGATTTATTTCTTTTGTTCATAACCAAGATATCCGGACGGTTATGCAATACCCTATGGTCCGTTATTATATTTTGATCCCAGTAAACTTTTATATTTATATTTTCATTAAGTTTGTCCTGGGCATAGCGATAAAAGGGTAACCCACCACTCTCCAGAAGTCCAAATTTTCTACATATACTTTGGTGTTATATTTTTGCGACATTATTATGCATCATGAGGTATTCCGTTCTCGCCAGAGTATTGCAGCCATTAGTAACATGTTGGATAGATTCATGCGTCTTCGAACTTATCCTTGGTCAGATTTTCTTTTAATATATATTTCCTATAGGTCCTGGTTGCGATAACCTCATTTATTATTAATTTAGTAAATATATTCAAATAAATATCATCCCAAAAAAAAAAAAAACCATAATGCGCAAAAAATATAATTTTTTTTTGGTTGTTTTGATTTTAATTAAGTTAATAAACTGAGTTAACGTAATGAAATGACGCTACTTATTTTGATCATGTTAAAATGATTTTTCTAAAATTAAAAAATTGTATAACTTGAAATTCACCGCCCTCTGAATTCCACCGCCAAGGACAAGCGTCCCTTTGCCGTTCTTTAATTGAGCAGCAGTACAATTTATTATGATTTTCTTTTGGACTTAAATCAATATAAAAATCTTTCAAATAGAATCAGAATGGCTTTCTTACCATTTCTATTGGTTTCTCAATTACTTATATTTCAAGGTCATTTAACTACTGTTTGTATTTTGTATAAATTAATTCTAAAGAATCAAATGATTTTTATAATATCAAATAATATCATCTTAATAATAAAAAGTAATAAAATATTATAAATAATAATATAGTCAGTAATAATAGTATGGCAGTGTCTAGAGAGATATTTAATTGTAGGTACCTACTTTAGGGAATAGTTTTTCTCCACTAATATTTCGAAAAACATCACTGCCAAAATTGAAAAAAGACTGTTTAATTAGTTCAACTTAAAATTCTAAATACACATTTAAAATAACAATTTATTAAGAGCTACATGTTTAACTAAATAAATAAATTAATGATTGATAACATATAATTAAAAAGTAGAGAGAGGGACTCTTTTCTACTTATTATTTATTATCTTAAAGGAAGAGTTACAGAAAAGTCAGTAAAATTCTGCTTTTTCTGATAATGACGAAACAGATAACGACCGGTGAAGGATTAGTCCGATAATGAACTAAAGAAAATAAAGAACCATAAATGAAAAGAAAAATTATTTTTTAAAATTCAACATATAGATTTTTGTTCAACAACTATTTAAAAATGGAGCAGGGTGGCTCAATGAGTAAGAATTTGTGCTCTTACGCTCCGACTAGACTCCGGCAGTGGCAGGTAATTATTCATTTTATTACAACAATCATAAAACGATGAAATGGTCTATGTCAAATCTACTTCTGGTACAACCATAGACCAAGAAACAGTACTTCCGTACAATAAAATGAACCCCAGACTCTCCATGCGTTCAAGTGGTAAAGGTTTTTTTTTATTTCAATTGCTAGAATGACATATTGTTTCTGAAGCTTTTAAATAATATTTCGTTCTTTTATAAAGGAATTTTCCACTAATCTAAGGTCTAATCTTTTTACTTTTCTGCCTATATTACGTAAAGAAAGTATTGCGATCGAGTCAAATTTCGGGTTTTCGACGTATCTGTACGTTTCAGTCTGTCTGTGCAAATATTATTTCGGGAAGTAGTAGACCAATTTTGTTGCTTCTTTTTTTATTTTGTGAGATTTTCATTACTGATGTTAGCGACACAAATTGAATGCTCCTGCGCAATAAGTGAAAACATATTTTGCTATAGATTGTACAGCAAAAACGGCTCCAACGATTTTTATGAAACTTTCCTATAATTTTATAATTAGTGTCCTTTCAATTTTCGCACTCGTAATCGAACTTAAATCTTTTTTTATTTTTTATTATTTTTCATTTCTCGTACCAGACTGAAACGACAAGAAACCGCTCAACGGTTTTGATTACTTCAGCACTTACTAAACTTCCAATTAATTACAAAAGACTCATATACATGACTATAATAAGGTATATTTGGATTTACGGAGTTGAGCTATGGGGCTCGACTAAACCATCGAATTCTTCTCGTATCCAATCCTTACAATCCGAAATCCTTTGTACTTTGTTACAAATAAAACTATCCATAATGGCCTTAATGTTTCTTACGTTTCAGATCTGGTCCATTCCAGATATCTATCCTTCCATAATAAACTTCAGAATCATCCCAACCCTCGCGTTTCTAACCTTTCTTCCTCTTCAATTCCTGATAAAACTCCGAGGCGTCTGAAAAGAAGATGTCCCTGTGATCTCCTAAAGTAGACATATAATTAGAGTGCTACCATTGGGTAGTTACTCAACGAGTATTTTAAAGTCATTATATCCATATGTTCAAATTTACTAAATGCATTTCTTTAATATAGTTGTAAATATCATTAAGAAATAATTTTTAAAAAATTATACTTTTTAAAATCATTTTAAAGGAAAATACATTTAGTTCAATGTTTTCGTTTCTTGATGGACATATTTAAAGATATAAAAACTGAAATATGTAGGAAAGTCCTGCGGGTGGACACACTAGATTTTTTTAAAAAGACTCCAAAAAAAATTGTTTAATTAAAATGTTATTAATTAACGATTATTGGAGATGAATGTTGACTGATGAAGGTGGCCTATAAACATGGACACTTTTTATTCATGTACTGTTAACCGCAATTCTATCACTTTCAGTGATCCACAAGAACAACCCGTATCGTATGGGCATCCTGCCTTTCAAGATAACGCCCACAAATCTAGAGGGCTTATCACCCTATACAGGACACCGTACATCACACAGTTCAGTGAATCGCAGAACCTTCAATATGATTCTCCAACTGCTGGTATTCTTCGGCAACGCAGTACTCTACGTAGCGAGGTACCTTCTCCAGTTGCTCCATTGCACCTCAAGCATGGACGCGAAACAACTTCTATTCTCTACGCTAGTGATCTACGTGGCTTATTGCGTGTTCAACACTACCTACGGATTGTACAGGGCACTTGTTCAGTACATAACCGATTCGAATATGAATGGAGTGTTAACGTTTCTTGTAATTGGAGTGATAGTGTTGAAATGTTTATAATACGTTGCGATTTTTAGTGTTTAAAATGTATATTACCAGCGCTTTCGAATAATCACGATGAATAAGTAGGTATCATGCCATGAATCGACGTCCTTATAATTTAATAACTTTTTTTTATAAATGTTACCATTATGATATGGTGAGTTTATTATGTAAATAAAAAACCTTTGTTTTAATATAAATAAAATAATTATTTCAACCCATTTATAATACAATAAATAGGCACACAATAGGTTTTAATATGATTTTTTTTTCACACTTTGGAATTAATTTGTAAGTTGCCCAACGTTTAGGAATGACACAAATCAAACATATATTAATAGTCGAAGATTTACAGGTTGAAATTTTGTACAAATTATTTCATCAACTATAAAAACAATCAGATACATTGGAGTAAGTAAGAGGTGTTTAAAATACCACAAAAAAAATCTCTTAATTTAGTCAATACATTTATTTGTTAGTTCTACACATAGCAACACGACCAAGATCATAATGTCGACAGAATACCATTTAAAACTCTTAAGGAAAATCGTGATTATAAAAAAAAAAATAGTTTTTTACGAACGAACTGTTATTAATTATTTAATAATGCACTTTAGCATTTAGATCTCAGCAACCTGATTTAGATAAGAGAAAATTGTAGTTGTCAGTGGAAAAAAACCGTTTTATCTTATGTCAAATAAAATATGATTGAAAGTCTGTTCCTTTGTTTTATTAAGAGTAAATACAAACAATGTACTCACGAAAGCTGTTATGTTCATTAAGGAACGCTTTTCCAATTAGACTGTCCATTTATGTATTATTATGATTAATAAGGATGCTTGTTTGTTGTAGAAGGAAATTTCGTTTGACCATTAGGTACCCAATGTTTTCAATCTTAATATCTATTATTTTATAATATTACGTCATATAATTTAATAACATAAATGAACAAAGAATATAATTTAATTAAACATAATATGAATGCAAAAATATATTTTTCATTTTATAAAACAAACATGATATTAAATTGAAAATAAGATTTTTTTTTAATTCTTCATGTTTATTTTTAAACATTATATTGTAAGTTATAAGCAATATATGAACGAATGGCGTTAAAATGCACTTTTGAAGGATTATTATGCAATTGAAAAATAAAGAAACTATTTTATTTCCGCAATAAATAAATAAAGAATAATTTCTCATTTTGGCGATTTTAAGGCAATCATTAACAGTTTTTTTTTATCATATTAAGAGTTTTTGCAAAATAAAAATTCGGATAATAGCTAGGTGGCAATTACTAGGTGGTAATTAACCTAAACTAAAAAATAATTTTAACTACCTTATTATCAATAGATTTTCAATAAGAAATAACCTGCTCTACAATAATAATAATAATGGCTGGTATGGAATATTTGATGAGGTACAACAATATTGCAAAAATATACCACTAAAGTACCACACTCGAACTACTGGGCAATGCTGAGTTACCCTACTACCGTTAAAACCCAGACAAAGTTAAAGAAAATAGATTTTTAAAAGTTTATTCCAATGAACCAGTCGAATCACGGAATACGCCGAGGAAATTATCGGAGACTACCAATGCAGATTTAGACGGAATCGTTCGACTATTGATCAAATATTTTCTTTACGGCAAATATTAGAGAAAAAATTGGAGTACAACGGTATTGTTCACCAGCTGTATATAGATTTTAAAAAGGCTTACGATTCTATTGACCGCCAGAAACTGTATAATATTCTAATCCAGCAGGGGATTCCTAAAAAATTAGTAAATCTAGTCAGGATGTGCTTGACGGAGACACTCAATAAAGTTAGAATAGGTAATAATCTGACCGAAAAATTTGAGGTTCGTTCGGGTTTAAAACAGGGGGATTCCCTTTCGCCTATCCTGTTCAATTTGGCATTAGAGCATGCCATTAGGGAGGTAATGCGAACCTAGAAAGGGTTGGATCTGGGTGGGACAACATCCGTGCTGGGCTATGCGGATGATCTGGTACTGTTAAGCGAAGACGTTAAAACTATAAAACTAAATACGACAACGTTAATGAAAGCCGGTAAAAAACTAGGACTCCAAATAAACGTGGATAAAACAAAATATATGGTTAGCTGCAAAAATGGCGATACTACTGGTGATACCGATATAGATGGTAATATGTTTGAACAGGTAGATAAGTTTAGGTATCTAGGTTCTACGATAACTAGAAAAAACGAAATTGAAGAAGAGATTATGACTAGACTGAAGGCGGGAAATGCTTGTTATTTTTCTGTGACAAAACTACTTAGTTCGCGCCTCTTGTCCCGAAACTTAAAAATTAGAATCTATAAAACAATTATCTTGCCTACAGTTCTTTATGGATGCGAAACTTGGCCGCTTACATTAAGGGATGAGCAGCGTCTTAAGGTTTTTGAAAATAAAGTATTGCGTAGAATATTCGGACCAAAGAAGGATGAGTTAACCGGAGAGTTCAGACGGTTATACAACGCCGAATTGCGTGAACTGTGTCCGAGTAATATAATTGAGGTAATTTCATTGCGGCGAATCAAATGGGCTTGTAAAGTTGTTGGACTTAGTAAAGAGAGAATTCCTAAAAGGTTAATATTTGCTGTGCCGAATGGTAAGCGTCCGAGTGGCAGACCGAAGCGAAGGTGGGAAGATTGCATTAAAGCCGTTCTGAAGGGACTGGGTTTGGACAGCGAACGGTGGAGGGAGGTGTGTAATAAGCAATTGGTGGTGTCGGCATCGAACCTTCGGGTTCGCTAAGCCTTTTTATTTATTTTTATTTATTTATTCCGATGAAATCATAATAGGGTACTGCATAACAGCCCAGATATTGTGATTATAAACAAAACAAAGAAAATCATAGAAATAGCACTGAAAAAACCACCAGAACTGAAAAAAAAATCGTAAATATCAAGAACTTGCCTTCGAATTAAATGTTATACCATTTGGAAAGTAAGGAAGGAAGTAGAACTCCAATAATCTTTTTGAATGGTCTTATAGTGAAAAGCACCATAGAAGGTACATTGGACTTGATTTGGTTCATTTAAGAGCAGCACAAAAAGCAGTTCTTTCTGCTCGTTGTTATAATGCAAAATGCAGGATTGTTGTAAAATTTTTAAACAAGCAAATTTGTTTACATTCATCTACATTCCCTTGAGCGATTCCTGGAGTGTGGATGCAAATCAATAAGTCTGAGAAAGCGATGGATGTAAATAAAAAATAATAATAATAATAAATCGATAGTTCGTTAGAAACAGTGTGATTATCAGTTATTTTTTTTATTTTCAATGAGGAAGACCATATGAAAATTTATTATTGTACTATTGGTGAACAGTGATCACGGTGAAATTCTGGTTTAGATAATAGGAAAAAAATGAAATAAAAAACCTGGTTGGATCAGCGGCAATCTAAATCTTGACCGCTACGCGGTTTGATAAAACATCACAAAGCTTTAATGAAACACGCCTAGAATAAATCCACACAATAAATGTATTCCTCCCACTCTCCACTAGTGGTTTCCTAGGTGCACTAGACATGTCCAATGCACTGCACCAAGCACCAAGAACCATCCCACTCATGACTAGTCAAAGCCCGATGAAACTAGCCCCTGGCTCGCCTATCCTATCACAACCACTCCACCGTGTCACATCAAATGCACTATCTCAGGAATCAGTGTTAACCAACCGGTCGCAATCCCTTAGTAATCTATTCTATATAATTAACAATTCAAATTAAATTCCTCCGCCCAAGGCTTTTCTAGTAATAAGAATAAAATATTAATGAATTTATGAACGTGTTTTCAAGTAACCTATTTTGAAGGCGGGTATACATAGAATTATTAGTTATTATATGAAGAAGTATGCTTAGAATATAAATTTAATTCCTTATGTGCATCAAACAATTTAATTTTTATTTTGGGCATCTGGCGTGGCTCCAGCCCCAGGCACACCACGTGATTGTACCAATAAAGGGATTGTTATTAATTTATTCTTAGTTTTTTAAAGTGAATTGGGCTTCTCATTGCGATAGTTGGTTTACACTGAAGATTTATTTTTAATACGAGTTATACGAACATATCACAAAGATTAACCAACGCATGCGCTGCAAAAAAAAAAAAAATAATAGTACATTATGTATTACTCAACCCAACAACAGCAATCTTCCAATCTATATGAACTAAAAATACATTGAACAACTGCTTGTTGAAAATAAAAACTGAAATACCTTTTTTTATTTATTTATTTTTTTTACTTAACTAGTTTTTACAATCTTGTTTACCATTAAAGATTTAGAAAACATTTTTAAAAAAGTATTGTACTGTTACAATTTATTTATTGTATCGGGTTAAAGAGGTGATTTGATCGAGATCACGCTCATCCATCAATTAATCATTTAATTGGGAGTGTCCTCTTAATAGAGACTGGGTGTGTCCCCTAAGGGTTTTTCGACATAGGCCTGTGGGATTAAACCTTCCACAGCCGGATTTTTGAAACTAGGACTAGGAACTTGAGCACGGTGCCTTACTCAAATATATTCTTCTGTCCCCTTAAATAACATGACAATTAAATGATTTAAAATGAAATTTAATGTATTTTCTTAGCCAAAGAAACAAAGTTTTTAAACCATTAACGAGTCAAGTCAAGTGACGAATATATCCACATTCAACAATATGGAATATGGACACCACTAACATCAACTATACATATACTTTATACTGTTAAAAAAGCATTACCTATTGTTAAAAGTAAAGTGTACAAACTATTAAAATTTATTCCTATTATGAATAGAATATTTAGAAAAATATGGATCGCTGAAAAAAAAAAACTTTAAAATCACAACAAAATCTCAAAGAAAGCAGGAAGACCTAGCTGACAGGGCCGCTTTTAGGAGGGCATGAAATGTCCAATTAACAACATCAGTATTAATTACAAAGTAAGTATTAATTACTCATAGCTCCCCCAATTAGTTGACAGGGATTATATTAAAGAGTACACGCTTAGGCGCTGCCAGCTCCTTTAAAATATTTATTTTAAACGTTAACCTCTGCTAATCCTATTAAATTAAAGCGTCTTTAGTTTGTATCAAATTTATGAATAAATATTATTTATCTAATCAAGAATAGAGTTTTTTTTTTTTTTTTATCTTCGTACAAAATACTGGAACGTTTCGGTGATCAGCTACGGTTCAGGAGTCTCTGCTAATTTATTTTTAATTTTTAATCACCAATAATTTTCGTGGGTTTGTCAATTTTTATTTTTTAA